CATTTCATCATGTCCAGAGGACTAAATTAAATAATACTCGTAAAGCTCTTTAGAATAGTGCCTGGCCCTGGCCAGTTTGGCTCAGCGGTTAGAGCGTCAGCCTGCGGTCCGGAGAGACCCGGGTTCGGTTCCCGCTAAGGGCACGTACTTCGGTTGCAGTTTGTTCCCGGCCCTGGTTGGTTGTGTGGGTGGCAGCCACTCGATGTGTCCCTTTCACATCGATGTTTCTCTCTCTCTCTCCCTTCCTCTCTCTCCCTCCCACTCTATCTGTACAAAAATGGAAAAATATCCTCGGGTGAGGATAAAAAAAAAAAAAAAAAAATAGAATAGTGCCTGACACAAATGCTCAATAAATGTCAACTTTTGGAAATTGTTATAGGACTGATATAAAGGAATGGAGGAAGGGAATAAATTAGACCTAGTTCCAGCTTTCATAAGTTTGTGTATTATTTTTCAGAATAAATAATACTATTAAAAAATATTTTGTTATAATGTCAGACCTGTAGAAAAGTTGCAAGAATATTCCAAAGAATAACATTTCTCTCTCATATAAATAAATAAATAAATGTATATATGTGTATTTATGTAATAATATACATATTTTTCTCTGAATGGTATGAGAATAAGTTGCAGATAACGATGATGTAAATATTTAAGTGTATATTTCTTAAAACTAGGGAATTCTCTTATATAATTCAGTCTAGTGATCAAAACCAGGAAATTAATATTAACACTAACACATACACAGATTTTATTCAAATTTCATCACTTGTCCTAATAGTGTTCTTTATAGCAGAAGAAAATCCAGGTTTATGCATTACATTCAGCTGTCATGTGTCTTTAGTTTCCTTTAAGCTGGAATAGTTCCTGAGCCATCATTTGTATTTCATGATTTGTTATTTTTAGAGTACAGGCCAGTTATTTTATAGAAGGTCCCTCAATGTGGATTTGTCAGGTTCCTCAGATTAGACTCAGGTTATAAACTTTTGGCAGGAATACAATAGAAGTACTGTAGTGTTCTTAATGTGTCTTATCATGAGGGACATGAGGTCTGTTTGTCCCACTACTGTGCTATTAATTTTGAACATTTAATGAAGTTGGTGTCTGTCTGCCACTTTTCTCCAAATCAGTGCTGATTCTTTTCCTCTGCATGAAAAGGACTTCTTTTGTGCCCATTCAGAAGAGCACCACATGATAATAATGTGTCATAATTTTCAGAAATAAAAAGGAGCCCGGCTCAGTTGTTGAGCATCAACCTATGCACCAAGAGGTCGCCGGTTCGATTCCTGGTCAGGGCACATGCCCAGCTTGTGGGCCAAATCCCCAGTCGGGGGCATGCAGGAGGCAGCCAATCAGTGTTCTCTCTCATCGATGTTTCTGTCTCTCTCTCCCTCTCTCTCTAAAATCAATAAAGAAAAAAAAATAGCAAAAAGGACTTTTGTAGTTTTTGTACTAAGAGTTGTTTTGTAGGTTTGAGACTGTTTTAAATGTGAAGCACTGAAAATTACTTTGATAAATTATATATATATTCTTATATTGAGTGAAATTAATGTGAGTAATAGTACTTTTTTTAGACATACCTACTAATAGGAAAGGGTGGTTACTTTTACTTTAGATGACTTACTTTATAATTTATCATTTTATGTTGTTTTAATAGGGCCTGCACCCTAGAATAATAGCTGATGGATTTGAAACTGCAAAGAAAAAAGCACTTGAAGTTTTGGAAGAAGTTAAAATTAAAAAAGAGATGAAAAGAGACATCCTCTTAGATGTGGCTAGAACATCTCTACAGACTAAAGTTCATGCTGAACTGGCTGATGTATTAATAGAGGTATGTGGCCCTGGCTGGTTTGGCTCAGCAGTTAGAGGATCGGCCTGTGGTCCAGAGAGACCCGGGTTCGTTCCCTCTAAGGGCATGTACCTCGGATGCAGTTTGTCCCCAGCCCTGGTTGGGTTGTGCGGGTGGCAACCACTCGATGTGTTCCTTTCATGTCGATGTTTCTCTCTCTCTCTCTCTTCCTCTCTCTCCCTCCCACTCTATCTGAACAAAAAACAAAAAAATGTCCTTGGGTGAGGATAAAAAAAAAAATAGAGGTATGTGATTAATATTTTACATTTAGAAAGAGTATAGCCTGACATATGATGATATTTTTCTTTTTCCTATAAGATATCTATCAACTATTGCATGTGGTTCTTTTGAATGTAAAATAAAATGCGGAAGACAAACATTTATAGGCTTGCTTGCTGACTAGATTTGATTGGTTGGAACAGTATGTATATATATTTTTTCAAAAGTATCACATTAAGCCTTCTTTTAAGTTAACTTTAAAGTTGGGAGGTGCTTGGATGCCTATGGCTCATCCCCTGTGGAAACCATTGGGGTGATATACTGGTCTCCTATACCTGGAGGTCCATATTTATTAGATGAGGTGACACATGGGGAAGTTGTTTTGGCAGTGTGCTTGGTATTTAAGGTTACTAGTTTAATGAAGCATGATTGATCTGATAATACATCTTGGAAATACATACTTTGTTTTGATTACTTCTAAAGGTAGAATGTTTGTAGTATAAGGACAAGCAAGATTTGGTATTTTGGGAAGTCTTTTATCAAGGGGCTATAGTTTAGTGATATCTTAGCTCCTTAGCTTTCCAGTTACTGAAATTTGAATATATTAATGCTTCAGGAATGATGAGTTCATAACCAAATTCACAAGACACTGATATATAAATCAGAATGCTATCATACTAATTTACTTAGAGAAATATAAATACCAAATGGACTGGAACACTTGAGTTGTTTCTGGAAAACCTAGTTGGGATATCAGACTAAAATCAGACAATTTCTTACTGAACAGAGTCTAAACTAGGGGTGGGAAACCTTTTTTTCTGCCCAGGGCCATTTGGATATTTATAACATCATTCATGGACCATACAAAATTATCAAGTTAAAAATTAGCCTGCTATATTTGGTCATACATTTAATTAACTCACCCCTAATGTGATGGCTGGAACTGCTTCTCTTTAGTGAGGTGAGTGATGTTAGCTGGTACTGATGATATTGCTACTAGCAACTGCTTTTCCAGGTTGTGTCGGTCAGTCTGGAGCATAGTCGACTCTTAGTGATGGTAAGTTTTGAAAAGAACTCCTTGAAGCAGTAAGTTGTTCTGAACACAGATGCATATTTCAATGCATGTCTCCTCAAAGTGGGAAATTCATCATTGCTTATACTTATATAACATTTATAGAACTCAAGCAGTGGGAGGTTGTTGTACTGATAAGGCTTTCAGCTTATCATCTCTTTGCAGCTGAATGATTTCATGTTGTAGGTTATCAGGCACATCAGCTTGTTCCACATTGAACTGTGTAGCAAAGATGTTCAATTTCATTTGTTTACTTTTCACATCCTTGAATCTTTCATTAAATGCTTCAATTAGTTTCCCACATTCACCAGCATATTCAAGGCTTTTGTCCTTCTAAATTTCGGAGGTGCTTGGATGCCTATGGCTCATCCCCTGTGGAAGCCAGTGGGGTGATATACTCGTCTCTTATACCTCGAGGTCCATATTTATTACGTGAGGTGACACATGGGGAAGTTGTTTTGGCAGTGTGCTTTGTAGTTAAGGTTAAGATTACTACTTTATTTATTTATTTATTTTATTTCTCACCTGAGGATATTTTTCTACTTATTGTCAGATAGAGTGGGAGGGAGGGAGAGAGAGAGACAGAGAGAAATATCAACATAATAGAGCCTCATTGACTGGTTGCCTCCCATACGACCTGACCAGGGCCAGGGATGAATGAAAATAAGGTTATTACTTTAATGAAGCATGATTGATCTGAGAGTGGGGAAATGCACCTTGTTATTCCTTTCAAGTTACACTTTCCACTGCCTTGATTTAGCTTCAGATGATTTCACGTTTGAAAGCAGGGAGCTGAGAAGGTGGTCGGGGCCCTGCAGCTTGACGTTCAGCTCTGAGAGGTACTTGGTAATGCCCACCATGAACACTAAATCACATAGCCACTTGCTATCACTGAGTTCCTTGACAGGTTTTCTCTTCATCTCCATGAACTGCTTGACTTCATCTCACAGTTGGTAAAACCTCTTGAGCGTGTTCCCACGACTCAGCCACCACACTTCACAGTGATAAACAAGATCACCGTACTCAGTGTCAAGGTCATTTAGTAAATCCTTAAACTAGTGGCTGTTAAAACCTCTGCTTTTGACAAAATTGATACATGACACTACTGTTGAGCCACAATGACTGTGCAGAGAGTTTTTTGGTCTATAATGCAGTGGCATTTAATTAAATCACTTGGCTCAAGACTGAGACGATTCAGTTCTTTCTTGACAAATGCAATTAACCCTTTTTTTCCGAGCCAGCCATGGCTGGAGCTTTATCTGTATGTAGTAAGACCATTTAACTTTTCAAATGTTAGCTCAAGGTTTTTCATGGATAAAACAAGTCTCTCAAACAAGCCCTTATCTCTTGTAATGCCCATGGGTGGCTTCCAGTGACAGCAGTTCCTCTCTCGTGTCAAACTCTGCAGTTATTGCATGAACAAAAATGGCCAGTTGGGCAGTATTTGTTATGGCCATTGCCTCGTCACAAGCCAGAGAGAAAAATTAGAAATTTCCTGCAGCATTCCTCCGTGTTTTTTTTCAATACTTGAGCTAAGTCAGTAATTTAATCTGAGATTGTTATCCAAGACAAACTAACACTCGGAAACAATTTTACTTTGGTGCTAACAACTCCGCAGCAGCCACCATGCACTCTTTCACAAACTTTCCCTCTACATGGGGCCTCAGCTTCGTGATTAGCTTGCTTACTGTATAACTTGTCTGAATAACGTCTTTGTCACAACGAGGCCTAGTGAAAGCAGCTGTGATTCCAAACTCTGCTGAAGAGCATTGATTTTATCCAGACACATTTGGCCTCCCAATTCACTGAGTTTAGAATGTTTTGAGCTATAATGATGCTCTAGATTGGCTTTTTTTTTCCTCCACTCAGACCGCATTCTCTCCCTCTCATTCTCTCCAAGGAGAGAAAAAAGAACAATCATTAGTGGCAAATGGCAGTTACTGAAACAACACCAAGAGCTGGCTTCATGCTCAGAAGAGAATGCTGTATCTCTTCCTTGTGGTTTCGGGTGTTCTACACAATCAGAAACTTCTCTAGTAACAAACTATAGAAATGATCCCTGAAAGTATAGTCTTTTTAGTTTGGCTTTTTACATGACTGCTAATGCATCACTACAAACTAGGTACACAGGTTTGCCTTTGACTGCAACAAAAAAATAATAATTTGTTCATTTCTCTTGGAAAGATCAACACTGCATCAACTTTTCTTTGTAGTCGCCATTTGTAGGATGTCACACCACTTACGTTTTTTTTTTTAATCCTCACACAAGGACATTTTTCCATATTTTGTTCAGATAGAGTAGGAGGGAGAGAGAGAGAGAGAAACATCGACGTGAAAGGGATACATTGAGTGGTTGCTACCCGCACGACCCAACCAGGGCCGGGGACAAACTGCAACTGAGGTACATGCCCTTAGCGGGAACCGAACCCGAGTCTCTCTGGACTGCAGGCTGACCCTCCAACCGCTGAGCCAAACCGGAGCCAAACCGGCCAGGGCTCATACCACTTATGTTTTAATAAGTATCCAGTGTGTGTGTTGCCAACGACATGATTATTTTGCTTTTGTTGCTGTTAAAATCCTGCATCTTGGATTTGGAAGATGTCCAACATTTTTTTTTTTTAATCCTCACCTGAGGATATTTTTCCACTTATCATCAGATAGAGCGAGAGGGAGGGAGAGAGAGAGAGATGCTGATGTAAGAGAGACACACTGATTAGCTGCCTCCCGCACCACCCCGACCAGGGCCCGGGATGAACCACAACTGAGTTACGTGCCCTTGACCAGAACTGAACCAGTGACTCACTGGTCCACAGGCCGAGGCTCCAACCGCTGAGCCAAACCAGCCAGGGCCAACATTCTTATCACTGACTCTTGAAGTCTTTTTTGTGTACTGTAATTTCCTTAATCTTCATCTAAGATTCAGTTTTTGTGAGGATTGTTGATTGTGGACATGTGGATAAAGGTTGGATTGGAAATATCATCTGTGTTGACAAAGAAGTCGACAACAACGTCGTCATTCGTCAGAGGCAAGGTCATCAACGTCTTTTCGCATCTTGTCTCATCATCACCGGATTGCCGTAGTTTCGCCAGTGTGTGAACACTCACAATGTGTACACTCCCAGCCTACCTGGCACTGACTGTCCTCTGAGTCACCGCAATACAGGCAGACAGGCTACGGGCAGCTCACGAGAAGCATACATGTCTATTCTGTCATGTACTCGTATGTGTCTTGTCTATTCTGTAATGGACATTCCTTGCTTGTCCCTCAGAATTTATGTTATTGTTATGATTCACTTAATATAATTTATGTTGCTATGAAAAAAGCTCCTAGATTTATTGACTTTTGAGTTCTGCCTGTGGTTGCCTTGGCAGGGCCAGACCAAATGATTTCATAGGCTTTATATGGCCCTCGGGCTGGACGTTCCCCACCTAGGTCTTAAACAAAGACCGCTGTATTTTCTGCTGTTGGAATGCGTATATCAAGTAGCTCAGAATCTTCTGGTTAGGGCCTCTATTCTTTTTTGGAGTTGTAGAAACACTGATACTCTCACTATCCAATATTTTTTTGTTATTATTCCCTGTTAGGCTCCAAAACCAAATATTATGTTACAGCAAGTAAATTTTTCTAAGATATTTATTTTCTGCTTTATTTATATCTTAGGATGGTTTTACTGTAACACTTAATTTCTGTAGTCATTTAAAAAAATACATTTTTATTTTTTCAGAGAGAGAAAGACATTTATTGGCTGCCTCCTGCATGTCTCTTACTGGGAATCGAGCCTGAAACCCAGACATGTGCCCTGACTGGGACCTTTCAGTACATGGGATGACCCTTAATCCACTGAGCCACTCTGGCTGGGCTGTAGTAATTTTTATATTACTTTATGAGCCAAACAATAGGGTGTATTGTGCTATGCTTCTCAAATTGCATATCCCTGGGGGATATTTGGCAGAATAAATGAGACACATCTTTCTGGAATGTCAATTATACTTTATGGTATTTGAGGAAAAGCATCATTTTCCCATTAGAACAGACATGTATGTATAATGGCATGACATGGAAAGTTTTCACGATAAAAGACAAAACTTAAAAAATTCATGATGACAACAATGAGGTATCACCTCACATCTGTCAGAATGGCTGCCATCAACAAATCATCAAACAACAAGTGTTGGCGAGGGTGTGGAGAAAAGGGGACTCTAGTAAACTGCTGGTGGGAATGCAGACTGGTGCAGCCACTATGGAAAACAATATGGTGTTACCTCAAAAAATTAAAAATTGAACTTCCATTTGACCCAGTGATCCTACTTCTAGGAATATACACTAAGAAGCCTTAAACACCAATCGGAAAGAATATATGTACCCCCATGTTTGTAGCAGCACTATTTACAATAGCTAAGATCTGGAAACAGCGCAAGTGTCCATCAGTAGACGAATGGATAAAAAAGCTGTGGTACATATACACTACTACTCTGCAGCTGTAAGAAAGAAAGATCTCCTATCCTTTGAGACTACATGGAGGGACCTGGAAAGTATCATCCTAAGTGAAACAAGCCAAACAGAGAAAGACAAGTATCATATGATCTCACTTATTTGTGAAATATAATGAACATAACAGTCTGAGGAATGGGGTAGTCCCAGAGACGTGGAAGGGGGGTACAGACTGACAAACTCCAGTAGAGGGGGTGGTGGGGGAGAGATAAATCACAGAACTTATATTGACATGGACAACAAACTGGGGACAGGGGGGGGGGGGGGGAGAAACATCTGTAACAAAAATTAAAAAAAAAAATACAGATGATGTATTATAGAATTGTACACCTGAAACCTGTATGATTTCATTAACCAAAGTTACTCCAATCAATTCAACAAAAATTTCTTTAAAAAGATTTCATTGCCTGCATTTGGCCAAATACCCAACAATATTATTAAAGAAAACACATGACAGTATAAGTTTCTAAACTGATAAAAATAATAATAAAATTATTTCTATTAAAGAAAAATTCATGATGTTATAGCCAGCAAATTTGAGCTCTACCCTTATGTTACATTTCCTTTTCTATAATTAAGGTGTCCTTTGGTGGAAAAGTTTGAGCAGTCTTGGTATAGTAGAAAGAATGGTGGCTTGGCAATTCCAGAGACCTAAATTCTAGCCCTGGCCCTGCTGGTACTGTTTAGACCTTGTCTTAAGGCCATAACGTTTTTTTAAATACTTACCCAAGGATATTTTTTTATTGATTTTTTTAGAGAGTGGAAGGGAGAGAGGGAGGGAGGGAGAGAGAGAGTGAGAGTGAGAGCTGGGGGTGGGCAGAAACGTTGATGTGAGAGACATATTGATCTGTTGCCTCCCAGATTGAACCTGTAACCTAGGTATGTGCAGTTGACTGGGAATTGAATCCAAGACCCTTTGGTGTGTGGACCGACACTCTAACCACTGAGCCAAACCAGCCAGGGCAAGATATAATTTCTTAAAGTCTTGTCTTAGTTTTCTTATCTGTAAAATTAAAGGGTTGGACCCTTTAGGCTGGAATTATTAGTGTCTATGACCTAGGGACACTTTTTGGCCTTGCCTTATGTTTTGGAGCCTGGAGCTCTTTACCTGCTTAGTCTGATGACAGATTACTTGGGCCAGGGAATTGTTTTTTTGTTTTTTTGAGACCAAGTAATTTACTGTTCTCGTTCACTTCTCTTTCAGGCTGTGGTGGATTCTGTGTTGGCTATTAGAAGACCAGGTTATCCTATTGATCTCTTCATGGTAGAAATCATGGAGATGAAGCACAAATCGGAAACAGATACAAAGTAAATTACATAAACTTTGGCAGTACATAGATTCTAGAATATTTGGTTATCTTCAGATGTCCTTTCACTAATTTCATTGGTTATTCATTCAACATGTTTTAATTGGATACTTCTCAAAGACAGTCACTGTTTTAGGGGCTAGGAATGAAAAGTAAACAGAACAGAATTTCTCCAAGAAGCTTACATTTCTAGTTGGAGATTGTAAACAAATAAGTGATAATAACTGCTATGAAGAGGCTAGAGGAACAGTGTGTATAAGCATGTGTGTGATTTTAGAACAACATGAAACTAAACTAGATTAATTCGTTCCAAGCCCCAGAAAATGCCTATTTACTGGCCTAATTTGTATATAATATGTAGAAAAACATAAGTCTCAACAAGAAATAAAAGTGTACAGTATGTCTAAGGGTTAAATTCAGTGTAAAGCGTGACTCTCTCCACAAAGCGTGACTCTCTCTCTGCACTCACACTGATGACGCAAGCAAGGCGCGCTGGGCCGAATGAACGCCATTCGGCTCAACTCGGCTCATCTCAGAAGTTCGAGTTCCAAATATTTGTTCGGATTCCGAGACAAAAGTTTCTCGAATCTCCATTTGGTCGAAAACCGAGGCGTTCGAGAACCGAGGTATCACTGTATTTGGAATATGTAGCATCTTGTTGATTTTGGATTTAACTCATTTTAAACTCTATCATGGAAAATTCTAAACATATATAAAAGTAGAATAGAATAGTGAACTCCTACATACCTATTACTCATTGTTATCCATTTTCAGATTATAGCTAATCTTATTTCTCCTTATATATTCCTTTTTTTCTTTCCCCTGCCCCAAACTTGGATTATTTTGAAGCTAGTCCAGATGCCATATTTCATCAGTAAATACTTTATTTTTAATATATGTGTGTATATCTTTATTTATTTTTTTATTGTTAACCCTCACTGGAGGATATTTTTTCATTGATTTTTAGAGTGAGTAGAGGGAGGGGAGGGGAAGAGAGAGAGAGAGAAAGAAACAGTGATGTGAGAGAGACACATTGATTGGTTGTCTCCTGCACGTGACTTGACCAGTGCTAGAGATCAAATCTGCAACCCAGGTACATGCCTTTGACTGGGAATCGAACCTGTGACCCTGCGGTGCACTGGCTGACACTCTAACCACTGAGCTATGCTGGCCAGAGCTGTGTGCATATCTTTACTTATTTATAGAGATCCTATTTGGTTCTTTCTTAAATTTGCCATGTCACTATTTATGCTTTCCTATTCCCTGAATATCTTCC